TGTCCCAGGATGCTGCACCGTAATAAGACATGCTCTCATGATGCCACTCTTATATGTTCAGGTGAGACTTTGGACCGATGGACGTAATTTACATGTGTCCTATATGTCTTCTTCCTGTCAACCCGCAGTTCAGAGCCTCTGTATATTTTGGTGGTCCTCAGGGTTCTTAGGTGCTTCCCCTATCATGCGTTAGCCATCCAGAGAAGGCCAGGAAGTAATGGAGAGCAGCCCCATAATCTCTCATTCACTCTACTGAGAGTCTGCATTTAACATTGGCTGTTCTAACCACTTCACTTCTGCACCAGGGATGTGGATCTCAAAAGGGCTGTAATTTCTTTTATGCTACTAGAGGTATGCACTCAATAGTGCTGACAATTCCTTCCATGTCTTTCTCATATACATAAAAGGAGAGATAGCCAGAGCAGACAAGCAGGAACATGGAGAAAAGAATTTATTTTCTGTGCTGCCAGTGTGTATGTTAATCCCTGGCACTTCAGTTAATTATAAAACTGGGAGAGGTACCATACCTCCAAAAGATCAAAGGAGGCACAAGTTACAAATTTAAGTGATTTAAAAAAAAAAAAGAAAAAGTTGTCAGAGGCCTGGATTACTTTAGTTGTGACTGCCAGGTAACATTATTTAAAACCACCATACAGTCATGGCTGCTGGGAGCTCTAAATACAGCTAACTTATTGTCACCCACTACAAAAGTGATGATTAGACCTAGCAAACACAACTTTTTTCCTGAGGGCACAAATCAAAAGCTCAACATGGAGCAGAGCTGCTGGCAACACCCTGCCACAAAACAAGCCTGGAAAGGACTGCAGTTCATGTCTGTTTCCCAGTCAAAGGGCTGCAGTCTGTTTCAAGACTGCCTTGGACACTGTCCCACTGGCCATGGTGATCTGGAGCACTGGCTGAGGAGCTATGGCAGCCAAACAGCCCAGTTAAGGTATCAGTAACTGACAGGTCTTGGCTCCTGCCTCCGTCTTGCAAGAGTCATAGCTCAGAGAGGAAATCCAGGTCTCATTAGAGGGAGTGTGATGCAAGGACCAGGCAAGGGTGAGAAGTAACAGTGTGAGAAGATAGAGGGACTGCATGGGGCTGGCAGTAGGACACCACGGTCCTACCCGTGCTGCACTTAAATTATTGTGAATATGCTGATGGGCATGGCCTGTTGTGTTCAGGCCATGCCTTATACTGTGGCATGGATGAAAGTTGAGAATTGCACACTGCAGTTACTGCTTACCGGGTAATGTGAGATGACCAACTGCTGAGAAAGTGCTACTAGTAGCTCCTATTCTGAGTTTCTCACATGCTCCAAATGCAAGGCAATGCTGGAACTGCCTCTGCAAGAAAAGATGTTGCAAGGTAGCAGCAGTATTGTGGGGGGAGAAGAGAGCAGAGCAGACGAGGAGAGACTGAACTTCAAGAGCCAAAAGACTTTTAGTCATGTAGTGCAGGCTACAACATGGGTAATAAAGACTTTTTTTTTCAGAGCTGGCTTATGAGCATCCTGGCCTAACATGCTTCCCAGTAACCTGAGACATATCCTTGCAGATAGTTCCTTGCAGCTAGACCTCTCTTACAATTTCCAATGCAATAGCACAAAAAAAAAATTTAACTGCTAAGTTCCTTTATTCTTCCTGCAGGCTATGGTGGGTACAGGCTGGCAAATGGCAGTACCACATGTTCAGGGAGAGTAGAGCTTCTTCATGGAGGCACATGGGGAACGTTGTGTGACTACCTGTGGGATTTACCAGCTGCCACTGCCCTCTGCCAGCAGCTGGACTGTGGAGTTGCCCTACTGATACCAAGTGGACAGTCCTTCGGGAAAGGAAATGGATCTGTCTGGAATGGCACATTCAGTTGCAAGAAGAACGGCTCACGCCTGAGAGACTGTCCTGTGAGTGTGCTAGGTCATGATGAATGCCCTGCTGGAAAAGAAGCTCGTGTGGCATGTTCAGGTGAGTAGCAGAAAGGTCTAAGAGGAGAACTGAAAAACTCCTTCTTTGAGGAAAAATATGGACCCAAAATCTAGAGGGTGTCTGTGGAGCCAAGCTCCATCTTTTTTCTGCTGCTACAGGCATTTCCAGGATTTGAGGCTGCACTTCACCTGTATCACAAGGCTGCTCTCTGTGAAATGCTCCTAGTGTCAGGGAGCAGCAAGAACAGGGCTGCTCCACAAGGTAGGATGAGCTGGGCACAGAGGGTGAGGACAACACAGGCAGCATCCTTACCCATCAAGGCACAATCCAAAGTATCTGCACAGAGGACAGAGGAAATTACTGATAACAAGGTCTACGGACAGTCCCAGACAAGGCAAAGTAGTCAATCAGATGTAGGGTCCAACTGGAGAGTACAGTCAGGAGTAGCAGGACACAAGACTGGAGACAGTTACACCAGTCACAGACTGAAGGCCTGGTCCAGGTTTAAGTGAGGCCTTGGACCAGTAGCCTGAGGATGCATAGCTGGAGGCCCTAGGTGAGGCTGGGCAGAAAAATTAAGGTCTATTGGTTCACCCAGAGCCCTGAAACCTAGTGCCTTGAGTTTAAAAATTGCAAAGGGGACCAGATCCTCTTTTCTAGTCATTCTTCTCAGTAAAATAGGGTGGACTGAAGTCTAGTTATGAGTACAGAACTTCCAGTGGCCCAGTGGAGTCATTTTTACTACTGAATGCTAAGGAAAACTCATTCCCATTTCCCAGTCACTTTCAGGTCATGCCCATGAGCAGTTACGAACATGACATCTCAGTACTTGCTTTCTCTTACATTCAGGGTGCCCAGGGGCCAGGTTGGTGAATGGAACCACATGCTCTGGCAGAGTGGAGATCCGCCATGGAGACACGTGGGGAAGACTCTGCCACTCCCACTGGAATTTGCAAGCTGCCAGTGTTCTCTGTCATCAGCTGAACTGTGGCTATGCAAAGTCAATCCAGACAGGAGACCGTTTTGTGGATGGGAATGGGCCTGTATGGAGAGATGCTTTTCACTGTGGAGGGACAGAGTCCTGCCTGTGGGATTGTGCTCAAGTGACTTTGGGCAATCCAACCTGTTCAGCCAGAGAAGCAGCCACTGTTATTTGCTCAGGTAAGTCAGGAGTGGCCTTTTATGGGTAGTGCAACTTCAGACCAAAGCAGCGTTGGTGATCTCACTCTGCCAACTAAGTCTGGTATGTCAGCCTGTCTTTAATGCCCTTTCCTTTCCATTCCTTTCCCCCACCCCTCCAACCTTAGTTTCAGCATAAAAACTTCACTTAGTAGAGGGATTCACATTGCTGAGATGTGCCTGACTCCTCACAGGATCTAGTCTTTGAGCTGGGGAAGCCTTTCTCACTTCCCATTGCAGACCCTTGTGTGCATGAAAGCAAACAAAGCTTTAACAGAGGCTGCCTCCTTAACCAGTGGTGAGAATTATTTTTTTACCAACATAGAGATTTGTCTTCCATCTCTCTCCTGCATGTTATTTCTACTGCAGTAAGAGCAGTAGATGTTATTCAATACATTTTCCAACTCTCTTGAGCCCAGGTCCT